CAAAACATTTAAAAATATGCAAAATGGTGGGTCTCCGGCCTCTTCTGGACTACCACCAATTTAAAATATGCATGAAACAATGCCTTTCTACCGAGGAGTTCGAGGGATCAGGATGGGAGTGGAGGTCCAGTTCTGCAGAATCTTTACTGGCTCAGCATCGCGGATACCAGCTAGCTAGACCTTTTCCTCAATAACAGCATCTATCTCCTCGAAGAGGTCACAGATTCCTTCCCCAAGGTCTTCATGCTCGGCATACTCCCGAACTGGGAAGGATTGATACAGATGTGGGATCGGCTTAGCCAATGCTTGATCATTTTTCTTCTTTGTCTTCAAGTCATCATCTGTGGGGATGTACCCCAAACCATATCTGGATCCCTTAACAAGGACCGGAATAGGCTCAATAATCCCTTGTGAATTTCTTCCCAATCTGAAACCTGGCTTAAAAACATTCTACAGCATCACAGTGGTTATCATCTTGTACATAGCAGGCATGGGAGTCTGTGGGGCCAAGTCTTCATCGGTGGCATTTACCGTCTCCACCGTGTAGAAATATGTACCTCGCTATATCTCATCAATAATCGGCGCCTGTCTACCAGAGTGACTCCCTTAGCCATGAATAACCAACTTTTCATTCTTCCAACGATCTTCATCATCTGATGTAGAGTAGAATGGACAGCTCCAGCCATATGGATGAAGGGCCTTCCCAGAAGAAGGTAATAGTTGGTATCGATATCAAATACTTGAAACTGCGCACTGAATTCTGCTGGGCCTATTGGGATGATCAGATTCACCGCTCCCAACGTATCTCTTTGAACCCCATCAAAGTCACTTACATTGACTTGGTTTGGTTCAAGTATTCCCAAGTCAAACTTAACTGCCTCAGCGTCGACAACGGGCAGATATTCAGACCAGATCCATTATCTACTAAGACGCGATTGAAAACCTTTTTGCGGCATACCACAGTGATGTGCAACACCTTGTTGTGTGACCTTCCTTCAAAAGGCATCTCATCGTCACAAAAGTTGATTCGGTGCCTTTGAATAATTTGGTGAATCATGGCGGCCACGTTATCACTGCTTGTGCTTGCGGGTACATACGTATCATCGAGAGCCTTAATCAAATCCTGCCTGTGCAATTGAGAGCTCATCAGCAATGCCCATACGGAGATCTGGGCTGGAGTCTTCTCTAAATGTTTGACGATAGAATAATCTTTCAGCTTTATTCTTCTCCAGAAATCCTCCGTTTCTCGTTCACTTATTGGCCTTTTAGCCTGATCCTTCTTTTGACCTCCGAGAGCAAGATTGTCAAGAGTGTAACTTCTTCCGGATCTGGCCATGCCTTCAGCAGCAGCAGTTTCAATAACAAACTTAGGCTTGATGAGAGTTTTTGATGGCACCAAAGCAACAGCCTTTACGGGTGTAAAAATAACGAACTCTTTCTGCTCTTTGATGCTCAAAGAAGCTACACCCTTTTCTAAATCATCGAGAACGATTGGAGTAATCATTTTCATTCTACACCATTCATTGTCTGTCTCGATCATATTGACATTGCCGCCTCCATGATTCGGGAACGGGTTGGTGTTGACATTTGGTGTCGCTGGTTGGAGAGAGACTATCTCTTTGTCAATCATATCCTAAATTTTGTGCTTGAGGTTGATACAATCCTCAGTATCATGCCCTACACTATTGGAATGATAAGTACATCTCAGGTTTGTAGAATTTTGAATTACATCCATGGGTTTGGGCCCCACAAGGTGGATGTATCTGACCGCAGCCAGTGGCTCGTACAACTTTGTTCGGCTTTCAACGAGCACAGTGAAGTTCCTTGAAGGCTTCTTCTCAAATCTGGGTCAGGGAGGGTCATAATTGCCTTGTTGGGGAGGAGACACCTGTTGATAACTTCTGGTGTTAAAACGGGGAGCTTGGCTTTTGGGATATGGATTTGTTTTGTAGTTTGGCGATGGATATTGGTAATTCGGAGGGGAATTTTTGTATAGTGGAGCTTGTACTTGATAAAGATGAGGGGGTGATCGGTAGCTCGACTGCATTTAGCGCATTTAGGAGCAACACCCTGGTAGGGAGATGGAATTTGGTAGGGTGGAGGATGATTTGGGTAAATGGGAGATGGATTTTGGTAATTTGGGGGTGGACTTTGGTATAGTGGAGCTTGGATGTTTGGATAAGCGGCGGTAGCATTCTGATAAGTTGAAGGATTATTGGGATGAATAACTTGCGTGTAGCAAGCTTGGTAGGACTTTTGGAAAGGCCGAGAATAACCTTAGGAATATGACGAGCTTCTGGGTTTTCCTTCCCCTATATGAAACAGCAGCAATTTCTTCTCTTTTCTTTTTCAACAACCCTGAAGATCCAGGCCATGCGGCTACACGGACTATCTTTCCTGATTTTAAACCGTCATCGATAGTCTCACCAATCTTGACTATCTTGGCAAATTTTGCCCCTATCATAATATTCAGGCTCTTGCACGCGCACGAATACTTCAACGATTTCTTTCACAGACATGGGTGGTCTCACCCTTGCCGCTTCTTTTCTCCACCTATGGACAAACTCCCTATAGCTCTCGATTGATTTTTGCTTCATCTTCTCCAAAGAGTATCGGTCTGGCACAATTCTAAGTTGTAACCAAATCAATTGATAAAATCTTTGGCCAACACATTCCAGTTAGGCACAGGCTTCGGTTGAAGAGACATATCAATAAAGCTTCATCCCTTCCAACTCCCACGAGCTGGTCACAGTAGGCTCTAAAATGATCCATAGGGTTGCCCACTCCTCCAAAGGTGTCAAACTTTGGGATCTTGAACCCTTCTCGAAGGTCCAAATTTGGATGAATACATAAGTCTTCATAACTAAGCTCGGTGATATTAGGGATGCATTGGATCTCCTTCATGGCCTTCTTTATCTCTTCTTTTATGTCGACCCTTACCTCTTTTTTTGCCCTCTAATCCTTTTCCTATTCCTCATAATGGGACATGAATTTGGAAAGTGGCTCTTTTTGGTAAGGGTTGAGCTATAGAGGGACTCTAAGCATTTTGAGCGGTTTGATAATTCTGTGGGTACGTCTGAGGATTGGTTTTCTGATTTAAGTGGTGGTGGGGTGTTTGGGAATTGAAAGTATTTTAGTTTTGATTTTGTGGTAGTGGAGCGGTTTGATGGTGGGTATTTTGAGGATGAGGCGGCATTTGGGGGTGGTTGTTTTGAGGAGGAGGTGGAGTTTGGTAGGATACAGAAACATATTGGGGATTTTGGGTATTCAGATTTATAACTGACGGATTTTAAGCAGGTGTAGATAGTTGGTTCTGGGCTGGATCCATATTTGAAGAAGGGAAGTAGATTGGAGGCCTCCCATCAGTAGCGTTAGCAGCAAATCCTGGTGGAGGCAGATTCTGTCTCCTTTGCATTTCTACTCTCATCTCTGCAATCTGTTGCATCAACTGAAGAATCAACTCATTCTGGTCTGCTACGGTGGGTTAAACCACCACAACATCAGTAAGACTCACTTCTTCGTTATTATCCCCCACAACTGTCTTCCCTTTGTCTGAGCTTTGTCTAGGGAAGGAATCTGCGGGACCTTTTGATCTAGTGAAATAGGGATGATCTGCCAGCCTTTTGATCGACACGGATCAGTATGAAAGTACCCGAGAAGGAAAACAACTCAAAGGCAGATTTGTCAGTGCAGATTTTGAGTACAAAATGCATAATATCACATAGAGAGCAGATAAACACACAAGTTGTTTTGTTTGAGGATATCTTCAACCCACGAGTGAAGACGGAAATATATTCTTTTAACAAGCAGGAGTTTGTTTGTTTTAGTTTTCACGCTATCTCAAAAAAGCTAAATAATTTTGAGCTACGGTCTTCTTTCAGCTGCTCTTTAACTTCTGTTGATTTGATCTTCGTATCTTCTCGTAACATTGAGGGGGAATGAATATTTTTAAAGATAGGGGTCGGTCCTGGGAAGGCTGCTTACGTATCTCACAAGGAGAATTCAGACGTAACGTAGTTCGAGTACAAGATAAAATATTTTGATTCATTCGTTCATTACGATTACCAGGGAATTGAAAGGCAACAATAGAGCTTTTAAAAGATGAAATGATGACGACACGTTAGTCATTTCCCTTCTTGTTGCAGCATTAGTCTCCTCCTTTCAGATGACCTAGGAATGGAGGCTTGTAGATGATTTCCTCGTCGTCGTCTCAGTCGCTTCAGGGTGAACGTTATTGGGACCACTATTGGCTCCTTGCTCGTAGACGGGGTATTTTTTGCCCATTTTCCGAAGTTTATCAATCATGTTGCTATGGAAGGCTTTGTTGTTCTTCCTCAGTGCAGCCATCCTTTCTCTCATGGAGGTGAATTCTTCTATTTTCACTGTCAGCTCCTCATCAAGTGACATGTTTTTAGATAACAGAGCGGTTGTCTCCGATTTTATCTTCGCCTCTCTCTCTTCTCTTTCTTGCACTTTCAACTGAAGCATGTCCAACTTCCCTCGCAAGTCCTCTTTCTCCGTCTCAACATCTTTTTTTCTCTTCATCTGTGATGTCAGGTCCTCATCCAGTGTCACCGTGGAAGCTTTGTAGAATGTGGTGGCCACTTCGACCCTAAGTCTTTCTTCTCTAACTTCTTGAATTTCTCGAGTGATTTGTTCGATCTTTCTTTGTAACTCTTCTCCAATGAGTTTCATCTGGACATTCTTACCCTTATCCATAGCAGTGATTTGTTTTCCCTGGGACAGTAGAGTAATGTTTTAGGATTTGGAGTATGGTAGATGTTTTTGAGTGAGAAACTTAAGACTCTAAAAATTTTGATCGAACATTTTTGTGATAATGAGTCGTATAATTCTGGGAATTTCTGGCAGGGGTGGGTTTACAATATCCTCATTCATAGCAACGTAACACATAAGCAGTTAAACACATATATCACGTCCTAAACATGCTTGTGACCCTTTTATGCCAAGGGTAGGCCTAGCGAATCGAAGGATGTATATGCTTTTTAAACCCGATATTTTATTCCCAAAATACTTCATTAATAACATCTAGAATGTCTTATAAACATAAAACAAAAAAATAGTTTTGAAAACAAATTACAAAATGAAGTACAAATAAAGCAGTCCCACGCAGGGGATGGTAAATAAAATTCAAGCCTCCTCTGATTCTTCGTCAATTCTGGTCCTCTTGGCGATGTTGACCTCTTCCCACATAGCATATTTTTTCGCCCATAAATGATCTCTCACCAATCGAGTTCCTTCTTGATGTATGAACCCCTCTATCGACTGAATCTGTTGTTCCATGCTATCATCCAACTCTGCCATGCATTGTCTGGCTCTTCGCAGTTCTTGTTTCAATCGAGCTATGACTTGGCGTCTTCTGAGTGACGACGTTGATGCTCTAATTTATTTTTATCAAACTTCTCTTGAAGTCGGTGAAGTCGGACTTGATGTTGGGCTCCAATATCTGCAATAATGTGAGGAACGTTTGGACTAGGCTCAATAGTTCCATTTAGACTCTTTTTCAACCATTCTTTGTACTCCCTCGAACATTCTGGACGAAACATGTTTGGTACAAGTTCACCAACACTCTTCGAAATCTCCACATCCTATGCATGTCTTTAGCAAACGCAACTCGTCCATTCTCGTGGTCAGTTGCAAATTTCCTCATATATGCAATCTGGGGCAACTCTTGTTTCCCTCCTAGTTGTCTCAAAACGTGATTGAGAGCATATGGTCTAGTCCCTCTTAACCCAGCAAATACCTTATAAGGGACATTTTCTATTTGAACCACCATATTCTTAGTTACCACCAAACTATCTATTGACCATTGTACGTCTTCTTCTCTCAGCTCTCGAAGCCTCGAATATCAAAAACTCTATCCTCCAGTCTTATTGCAACGATTGTGATATAACCACCAATCATGACCATGTAGCTCGTTTGACCGCCTTAGGGGATCTGGTTCTTTTGGATTATGAGTTTTGATCAAATGTCGCATCATCCACCACTGTAGTATCAGATTACACCCTTGAAAAAAGCGTTCTCCGCTCTAACATTTGTCTAAGCCCTATAGATGTCGGCCAGAATCATAGGTGCTAAAGTGTAGTAATTTGTTGATGTTTTATAATTCACTCTATAGAAGATGGCATGAGTCACCATAAACACACTAAGATGAATAGTACATTTTGGTCCTCGAAGGAAAACCATCGTTCCGAGCAAACATATTGCAAATGCGAGGGAACGTGTCTTTTTCCATTTTTCTTTTGAAACGAACTTGTCTTAATTTTTGTCATTATCCCTTGCACGCCCGAACCGATAATATAGTTTTTTGAAGGTTATATTTAGACCAAGGATCTTTTCCATCCACTCGGCTTTAACCAATGACAATTTTTCTCTAATTTTGGTGAAATCTCATATTATGAAATTTAGGAGATCTGTATCTGGATGTCGTTTCCTTTTGTTGCACATGGCGACACTTTCATAGCTGATAAGAACTTCTTCTATAGTTGGCGTCAACTCCACTTCCCCGAACTGAAAGACCATGTTCTCACAATCCCAGAATTTCACCATCGTCTCAATTAGGCTAGGTCAAGCATTCATCTCTAGCAGCGATGGAAGGTAACCTATGTGTTTCTGAACGATTATTTTATTGTCGTTGTTCATGAACCTCCACCATACTTTGAGGAAGGGATCAGTGATAGTAATCATTCTTGTTTTCAAAGGCTCGTGTGTCGAATTCATCCTACAAAAATAGCAAATAAAAATTAGTCAACCCCCACCCCGTAGATAATAAATTATTTTAAAACGTATATACATCCTTCAATCAACACGTAAGCATGATTGTCTATTTTTGGCAATTTAGGCCAAGTAGACACAAGGTGGGCTTCTAATGGGCCCAACATGCCTTGGGCGTTGGGTCATCTTAGTTCAAATGCTCCTAAATTCGGGATTTAGCCCAGCTTTACACTAGTTGACTAGGAGTGACTTTTGAAAAGACCAGGAACCCAAATGGACAATTTGGGCTGGAACTCGCGACAACCATTGGACGCATAACGAACCAATAAATTGTCGCTAATTCCGAATTAACAGAGTCGCCACTTGATTTTTAATAAAAGTCAAAAAAACTTATTAATTATTTTTCAAAAGATTTAAAACAGATAAAAATCAGTTAAAAGGGTTCGAAGTTCAAATGTGCATTTCGAGAAGGTGTTAGGCCCTCGGAATGCCCACTAACTTGCGGTTGACCATCAATTTGACTAAAATGACTTTCAAACAACTTTTTAATTTTTTAATTGAAGTAAAAGAATTTTTTTTTCATTTGCTCAATTTAATTATTATATTAAGGGGAAAATAAAATAGGGGGTTAAAGTGAAAAAATAAGTCTTATGTGTTAACAAGATCAATATTAAAATAAACTCTAAGTAATAAACATCTATAAAATAAATATTTGTATTTTTTTAATATAAAGAGAAATGGCTATTTTAGGGATGTGATTAAATTAAAACCAAAAATCAAATAAGGGAAACTTACATAAATATACTAAAATAAAAAAATATTTACCATTTATAGCAATAATATCTTTTTTTCACTTGATCACTTTTAATTCATTTTTAATACAAGTTTAATACATATTACAAATAACAATTTATTATTCATATATAATACAAATTTTAATAATGGATAATACATTTATCGCACATTTTAATACACTTATAATACAATATGTCAAATTTTTACCAAACAAACATAATATATTTCAAAAAACAATTATAATTCATATATATTGCATACATAATTCACTTTTAATTCATATTGTAGATTTGACATAGCATTGTTATAAATGGTAATAAATAAAAAGTATTACTAAAATCAGTAATTATTTATTAAAATGTACTAATTTATGTAATTTTTCCAATATGTTAGTCCAACATCATAATAAATAAATAAGAAAAGAAGAGATATCCAATTTGGGCCTTAGGCCCGAATTCTGCCGCTGCAATTTTCAGGGCCTTTAGGCCTATTTCCTTCAAAATCATGATACACCTTGAGTGTATATTCGATGTATATGCTATGTATATTAACTGTTTTTACGCTCTCAAACCTGTGATTTCAATCAAAACTTTGTATTTTTGCGTTTTTCATTGCTTGGCCACATTTTCAACTATGTATGGCATATTCATACTGTATACTAGTGTATACAATTTGTATATCAACCTATTTTTCGGCTTTTCGGGGGCTGGAAAATCAATTTCCAGCAATATTGCTAATTTTAACATGTCCACCCACTTCCTAAGTTTGCCCAGACGGCTGAATGGATGGAGAAAAGCGGGGAGATGACGAAACAATGAGTCCAATCGAACTTAATACGGGTTCACATGATGCGAAACAAAAAAACATTAGGATCTAAAGTAAACAGAACAGCAATGTTTATGCTTTGAGCAAATGTACAACAGCTTCCAAGTTAGAATATACCAAACAATTTTTCTTCTTCTTTTTTTTATTTTTGTTTCTATCCATTAATAAAGATGTAAGGACAAAGGGTAGTAGACTACAAGTGACGTGTAAAATCAAAAGAGTTACTCATGCATGAACTATTGCTTCCAAATATACTCATCAAAATGAAACTAACGGTAGTAGACTACGAGTGACGTGGAAAATCAAAAGAGTTACTCATGCATGAACTATTGCTTCCAAATATACTCATCAAAATGAAACTAACCCCCCATTGGGCCCACGAGTTAATTCTCATTTTTGTGCATGACATGATGGCGGATAACACCACTCTAACAAAACTCCAAACGTATAAATTTATGGAAACGAGAGGCTTCCCCAAATCTTATGATAAACTAAACACCTAATTAAGCACCCAAGTAATATATATATAACATAAAATTAAGAACCTAACTATCTCCCTTTGTCTGATAAAATCAATGGATGGAAAATCTACAAAAATGCCTTCAAACAAAAAAGATAGGAAGAAACACAGTAACATGAAGAATGAAGGTCATACACACATAAATAACTCGACGGACATAAACTAGATACCTATTCTAACTTGTGACTAGAAATCGCGCCGCGAATAAGCAAAGACGAACCCAATGACATTATAGTGCAGAAAACTCATTGAACATTGAATGAAGCAAACATCGGACAGTTGACACACTCAAGATTGAAACTAATAAAAGTTTAACTAACTATAGAGTACACAAAAATCGCCTCGTATGTAACATTCAAAATATCTCAACTATAATTGACTCAAACGAGATATCGAAATAAAAAAAAATCGATTAAGAGCAATCATACATCATATTTTAAAACACAAAATTCGACAACAATCTATAACGGCAACTAACACATCTCATTAAAATAGAAAAGACGAGAAAAATACTAAACAGGGAGGCATTACCTTTTCCGGGCAGCGACTCTGGGACGATGAATAGAAGATGACGAACTTTACCACGAAAAAAAAAACTTATGATACGAACAGTAATCAAAGAAATCGACAACAAACCCAAGAATTTTTTGTTCGGAGTTATATTTGAGCGTATTCTTAGTAACTTGCTAGAAATTCTGTCAAGAATTTCCAAACCAACGACAACTCAAAAAAATTGCTCTTTTTTTTTCTTTTTCCTAAAAATAATTTTCTCCTCTGTATTTCTTTTTAAAAAAATTCCCCCCCTTTTCCAAATGAACCAAGGCGATTATACATATAAAATGACTGGGGTTTTCATTTTTTTAAATAAAATAAACGGATCGAATTCGGATCAAAACTCATCTTCAACAAATTTGAATTCTTTCACCGAAAAAGACCAACACCTTTTTCTGAGGTTTCAGCTCTATCCCTGAAGAGGAAAGAGGGACGAACGTCTTCGATCGATTTGGTGTCCTTAGGGGGAATATGTGGCTCGATCTCGAGCCAAAGAACGTTTTGCGTCTGTTACAATAGTACTGTGGGAAAAGAGCTCGAAGAAAACGACAAGGGGATGGGAGAACGATCTGTGCCTATCGCTTCTTTTTCTGAGAAATCACGTTCTCACTGGAGGGGGGTCGTACGGGCTGAATTTGGATTTTCTTTCATTGGAGTTGGATTGGTCGGGGCAGTTGGGTCTCTATTTGGTGTTTGAGTATTGTTGGACAATAGATTTCCCTTAAAAAAAAGGTTGAAGATTTGAATTAAAGTATGGAGGAAATGGATTGGGTTGCTGAAATTATTGGGGAAAGATTGGGTTTGAGCAATTGAGGCCCAAAGTGGAGCCTTAAAGGATCCAAGAAATGGGGCAAAGATATTGCTGGTTTTGAGTTAGTAAACTGATCAAATTGATTGCAAATTAGCCAATTTAAGTTTTGAAACTTAATCGAAATGAATCTAAAATCATCTAACTAAATAGGACGAATTAATATAATCAACTAAACAACTTCTTAATTTAATGAAATAAAATAAAGCTCGAATATAAACTAAATAATTTGAATAACCTAAATTATACTAGACTAAATCAATAAAAATAATTACTAAAATTAAAATCTCTTGAGACGATTTCCGACCTTTATAAAATAATTATATGTAGTTATATTAAACAAACTATATTTTGAAAAATTTAAACAAAAGTGACAACATTAGTTAAAATACCTTGCCAAATATATATTTTTTATTATTATTTTATGAAACTAACAAAAATCTTTAAAAAAAGACTTCAAATTTTTATTTTAAAAAAAAACTAAAAAAAGGAATGAAATTATACACCCACCTTCACCCACCCCCGCACTCCACCTCATATAAGTCTTTCCCTTTTTTTCTTTCTATAACAACTCCACCTTCCACCATTATTAATTCTCCATTTAGAAAAAATAGATATTTAACATATATTGGGTATAAATTTATCTTTTTAATTTCTTTTATGTCTTCTATCTTATTTTCATTTGAATAGATGGTGTTTTCTTAAAAGATTTATTCTTCCTTTGTTTATTTTTATTTCAAATTTGTTTTTTTTTTAATTTTTCTGTTTCTACTTAGATTTGGGAGGAAGAAGGGGTATAGATCAAGGTGGTTTGTGGTGGGAGAGGTGAAGAGGAAGAGAGAAGACATATTATTAATGATCTTTATTTTCTCTGGCAAAGAAGTTGTAGACGATTTCCATTTTTTTGATAAATAAGGCATCTTCATTTTTTTGATAAAAGATTGTGAATGGTGATCTCCATACGGAAATTGATAATTATTAGAATATTAAAAGAAGAAGAAGAAGAAGAAGAAGAAGAAGAAAACATGAAATTTCTAAAAATAAATATAAAATAAAAAATGACCATGGATTTGTGAAGCAAAGTGATTTCAGATGGTAAAAGAGAAGAAGATAAAAAAATTGTTACTTTTAAAAAAAATAATGAGAAAATTAAAAAGAAAAGATTGAAAAGAAAAAAGGAAAAATATAAAAATATTAACTTCACCCACTCACCAAGATGTGAATTACACTTTTTGCGCCACCTCACCAAAAGTGTCTAAATGAATCAAATACGACTGAGTAGAGGTGTTTAATAAGTACTAGTCCTAATTGAGGTATTTACATGAATTATGTGGATAACTTTAAGGGGCTGTAGAGAGGTATGGATTATGAATAATTGTTCTTTGTAAGTTGGCATGTGAAGAGTCTTTTTTGTAAATATTTTTCCATTAATATAATACTTATTGTAATAAATTAAATAATGACTTTTGTAATAAAATAATTAATTTAAATAAGAAAAAAAAGCCAAAAAATGAGAAAAAAGATAAATACGTGTGGAGATCATAAGGAGGTGTCACATCCGCTTGTCTATGATTGTAACAACCCGTGTAGGCGGTTTGGGCACTAGAAATTTTTATGTTAGAAAATACTTTCTGATAGATTTACATGGGTGTTTTGGACTATTCATAATTATAATTATGAAATTAGTGGGGTAGTTTTACTAATTTATTTAGTTAATATTTAAGAACTAATATTATAATTAATAGGAAGTGTGTTATTTTGTTATTGAATTGATCTAAGAAGTAAAAAAAATTGTTTGGTCTAGAGAGAGAACATATTCGATAATGTTTTGCAATTATTCAATGGGTAGAAATATGTGTTCTATTTGGGTACGATATTATGGACAGGTATGATGTGTTCTAGTAAGGTATCTAATGGACTTTCAAGGTGTGGCAGTACTAGGGTTATGTGGAAACAGGTACGTCGATTGTCAAGTATGAAATACTAATTACTAAAGGAGTTACAAGTTGTACGACATGGTCAGATAATAAGATTTAGTGTTGCATTCACATTTGAGAAACCAACTAGTTTATTACTATACGAACTTAGATTGAGCATTATTTTGAAGGAAAATTTTAGTGGTTGAGCATTATTTTAAAGAAAATCTTTAGTGGTGGATCTTTGGTACAAATATTAACACAACTTAAACTGTGCAATGTATCTTGAGGGTTTTGAGTGAGGACTGGTGGTTTTATCTTAAGCTTCAAAAGGTAGATTGATACTAGCATGACAGACTTATAGGGAAAGAAAATCTTAATGGGTATACTTTGGGTGAAGTAAAATGAAGATTTTAGTAAGAAAGTGAATATAAAATTTGTTAGTCCCTTCATTTTGATTACTATATCTAAGTTTAAGGTGTCATGCCGAGGAAAAAAATATTTGACTTTGTGGTGATGAAAATGGCTTACAAATACATGATGGTGATAGGAGTAAGTGATGGATGGTGACGGAGATGCAAATTATAGAATACAAATTATTGGTCAAATAAATTTTGTATGGTGATAAAAACTTGGGAGTATCTAAGGTTGATATTTCTACTATTTAGTGAGTAATGTGGTTGTATGATAAATTTTAGGAGATTTAGGGCACACTCGAATATAATTTAAAGGAGCTGGAATCATAACTAAAATAAGATAAAACTTGTGGGATGTGTAGCCTTAAGAAAAATAAGTGAGAGCAGAATTATTTTCTCTTATTGTAAGAACTAAAAATGTATCTTCGAAGGGATCGAGAATTGGGTTCAAAATTGCATGATTTCATCTATTTTGTTTTGGTTAAGGTAATAGCATAACAGGTTAATCAGCTTGGTTAAAAGGTATTGAATAGAACTTAAGAGAGGAGTGTACAGACGTTCAACTTGAGTGAGATGATAGGTTATGTTGTACTGTTGAATTTAGAAATGAGTAGGGTTGGATTTTTAGTGAAGCATATGGTATGGTTGGTGGAGAGGCAATCAATGATAAGCTAAGATAACATGATTCGTAAAAATCTTCAAAGTATAAGCAAATGTAGATAATTAAGGGCATTGTGTTACACAATTGGACTTATAATTCAAATTATTTTTTTTGTTATAAGTCTGAATTTCTGGTGGTATATTTTGTCAAGGTATGAATTAGTAAGATGAGAAATGATTGATTGCATCGTTATTGAGCACGTGAAAGAATTTATGCATGTTTTGGACCATAAAGTTGTTACTTTTGATTGTTAAAGGATCTAAGGAAGGGTTTACCCTCAGATTTTTGATTTAGAGTGTGAAGTAAAATGTCATGGATTATTAGTAAAACATGAGATCGGTAAGCAAGCAAGATAAACAAGAGTTTGATATATTGAAGGAGCGAGATATTTAGAATTTGCACCATGAAAAGAATTTGAGAAGAGTGAAAAAATAAGACCTCTCGTATAAATCCATGGGGTGTAGTTGATGGTTGTTTTAATTTTTGCCTATGAGTTTAGATATAATTGTGAGATGTGAACTAGTTCGGTACAGACTTACTAGGAGTTTATCATCGACTTTTAAAAAAAAAAGAGGTTTGGTTTAGGTGACAAATAATGAGGTATGAAAATTTTAGTATTTTACAATGAGGTTAGATTGCTCAAATTAGGATAGAAGACTTAAGAATGATGTAAAAGGTGAGATATAATTCTACATGGTTATTAAGAATAAAGTTGGGTTAATACTACTCTATTGATGGGACTTCATAAAATGTTAAGGTGTGTTACATGGACATTTGATGGTTAATAGAGGTTATGAGCTTATAGTATACAGAATAGTTTGAGTGACAAAGAATTTTCCTAAGTGTTGGCATGATATATATAATGTTTTAAAATGGTACCTTAAGCATGGTATGTGAAAGTGGTGTAGAGTTGACTTTGGGTGTGATTTAATAGTTTTGTCTCAATGAAAAGGTACTATCACATTTGAAATTAGTGCTATAGGCCTTATTTGGGACTCGTATCTGTCAGGAAATGCTTAAATAGAAAGAGATAGTCATAGTTTGAACATGTATTTGATAAACATACTTTGATACTAATGATGGTTTGAGAGTAAGGTAGATGATCGATGTAGTTATACGTTTTGTTATTATTAAGAGTGTTGACTTCAATGAATGTGGAGTTTGATAAACCAAGTATGTGTGCAATTATATTAGAGACATTCTATGAAGGGAGGTGTAAATCTCTAGTTTTTGATACTATTGAGATGAGACAATGGGTATTAATATTTTGGAATAATCCTTGAGATAACTATCCTTTCTTGCCTTGCCTTCCTTTGATCGTTCGAGGACGAACGATGGATAAATTGGTATCTATTGTAACAACCCGTGTAGTCGGTTTGGGCACTAGAAATTTTTATGTTAGAAAATACTTTCTGATAGATTTACGTGGGTGTTTTGGACTATTCATAATTATAATTATGAAATTAGTGGGGTAGGTTTACTAATTTATTTAGTTAATGGTTAAGAACTAATATTATAATTAATAGTGGGTCACTTTTATCACTATTATAATTATATGAGTATAATAATTAGGGTAACAAATAATCTGTAGAAGAAAAGAAAATAGTAAAAAAGAGGAACAGTGAGAAAGACGGCTTACCTGTGCAGCTACATTAAAGATTAAGCGTGGATTCGTTTAGCGGTAAGTTTCTTTATAAATTCGTAACATGCAGATTGGTGGAAAGAATATATTAGTTCTTGTAAAACTATAAATGTTCAGGTGTATGCTAAATTGTTACGAGATAGGTTTAAGTACAAATTGTTGATTGAAAAAGTTAGGTAGCCATTAATCATTAATGTGTAAACAAATTGGAAGATGAAGGTATGGATGTGCATGTGGAAAAGCTTACTGCCACTGGGTTGGCACCAGTAA